TCCATCTCGGATGATCGAATTATCTCCAATCCTGCCAAGCTATCAGCAATATGGGAATACACTGGACTGCAGGTTATCGCCTCAAGTCGCCTGATCTCACGAGCGGATCTCAAGTAATACTTAGCCAGGTACATAAACAAAAGCGTCAAAGGTGTACAAGTGATAAAAAGCCACACATTTGCTACTGCTGAAAGTATGGTAGCACTGAAAAAGTATAGACACAACTGAATGGCAAAAAGGAATTCTCCTGGAAGGATATCGTCCATGCACCCAACATCTTTAGAGAAACGGTTTAAGATGCGACCTGCCGGATTAGTGTCAAAGAATAGCACTGGTGCTTTCATAACTGCTTTTGTCATCTGGTCATGGAGGTTTTCTGAAGCTTTCAGAGCAGCGAGGTAGAAACAGAACGAGGATATTAGCGTAAGAAGCAAGGAGCCCGTAACAATGGATCCGTACACCAAAAGCGTTGTGTGACTCTTCTGTTGTCCAAATGGCATCTCAGTCATCCGAGACAGCCACCAGAAGGGCGCTATCAAGAACACTGAAATAAAAAGAAAAGTATTGTGTATCATCAAGTTTTGATTTTGAACACAAATGATTTAGGGCTTAGGGGCAATACTAGGAAACAAACAGGTGCGGAAAAAATGCTATAAACAGGACCAAAAGAACATCTAAACGACGTATCTTCCGTTAGGGTCTTTGGAAGGATGGGGCAAGGGCTAAGTGTTTCCAAGATTAGTTTTAAACTTAAAACAACGTCTGAATGAGATGCAAATTATTTATAAAAGGATTAAATAGAACAAAACGTTAAATTCCAGTTACACCAACAGAGAGAAAGCTTCTTTTTGTGCAAAAGAGGAAAGTCAAACCCGTGACAGTCCAGGTACATTTTGGATGGCTCAAACACCGGATTATGGGCGTATCGCTGAGCTCTGAAATGATTGAGTCTTGCATTTGTGAGCGTAGATCTCACAATGACTTTACTCTCGTACAGTTGGTGGATGACTCAGGATTCTTCTTTTTAGAGCAATTGAATTTGACAGCTTCCCTCTACTTATTCACATTACTGAAGTCGCCATTCCACCTTACCGCATAACTAGGAACCATTTACTCGATAAATGCTGGAATTAATAGACGTAGAAAACCTTACTTTTTGAGAACCTTTTTGAGATCCCGCTTAAAGTGGTGTGTTCAAATTTTCCAGTGTATTTTGAGATTGTCTATTTTCGCTCCAACTTCTCTCGGTAGAGGAGGCCACCCACACTGTGGTACTAAACAGTTATAACCTCGAAATTCAGAGGGCATTGCATCCACTAAAAATTACTGCTTACCCTGAACAATTGCGAAGAAAACCATAAGTCTGATTATCAAAATCGTTGGGAGCGCAGCTCGTAAGTATTTCCAGTACAACCACCACTTAACGGTTCCAACCATTCTGTCTTCCGCTTCATCTTCCAGATCTACCCTATCATGGTGTTCTCTAGTGGACCTCATCGATTTCAAGGTATCTTCACTGAATACCGAAAACCTCTCGTCATTGTTTTGCTCGCCATTGAAATCTTTCTTTTCTTGAGATACAAAGCAAGAAGCAACTTGTTTGTCCTTTTCTATTTGACTGTACGTTCCTTCACAGATAACGGAGCCATTCTGCAGGACAACAATGCTGTCTGTTTCTTTCAGAAACTGTAAGTGATGAGTGACCAGAATACGCATTCGCCCGTCTAAGAACTCTTTGATGCATTTATCAAACAAATGTTTACCGACTTTGGCATCCACTGCACTGAGTGGATCATCCAATAAGTAGATGTCCGCATCTGAGTAGATTGCGCGTGCCAGACTAACTCGTGCACGCTGACCACCACTTAGGATCACTCCACGTTGTCCAATCTCAGTTAGATCACGTTTCGTGAAGCTTGCTATATCTTTCTCCAAGTCACAAACTTCGATAACTTTATTGTACCTTTGCACATCGAATTGGTTGCCAAAAACGATGTTGTCTCGCACAGTACCAGAATAGACCCATGGTGTTTGGGAGACGAGGGCTATTTTTCCAATACAAGAAATTTTGCCAGAGGAGATTGGGAGTTCTCCTAAGATGGTCATCAGCAAAGATGTTTTGCCGCTTCCAACTGGCCCTGTTATGCCCAGAAGTTGCCCATCTGCAGCACTCAATGAAACACTTTGTAACGCTGGAAGTTCTGTTGTTTGGTTCCAAAAACACGAAACGTCCTCAAGAAATATCCGTGGTTTGATGTCTTGAGATGTCTGGCCTAGTTTCGGATGAGGTTTTCCATTTCTAAAGCTCTCAATTGTAGCAAATTCTGGTTCATACCCTTTGCCTCTGAAGGAAACTTCTGGAGAAGACGGCTTGTCTTGGTAGTCCATGTTGCGTGTTAACATGGATTTCTTTTCTATTAAGTTTTGCATCCTACCGCATGCAGTTCTTGCATCGGCAATGTAGCGTAATGAATCTGCTATAAAGATCGTGACTACCATCTTTAAGTTAGTTAAAAGAGTAAGCAAAGTAAAGACTTTAAACGATGTCAGCGAAGTATCCATAAAAAGTAGAGTCGTGACTGAAATGAATCCTGCCATGGCTGAGCTTGAGAAGAACAGGGCGTAGATACTGGAGACTATGAACCCTCGAATACGAATCAGTGAGATTTCCTTTCTGTCAAAATGAAATTGAAACGTGTTGGGTTAATAATACGATATCAGAACTTTAACTGGTCTCAAAACGTTAGAAACAGGGAAGATATTTCAGTCTCAGTCCGGTCTCTCTAGTTTTAAGTAACGATACTGACAAAGTAGTTCTTTGAGCCAGCCCGTGTTTTGCACTTTCCCGAACGCTAAATTGTGGTGTGGCTTCAGTCCTTGTCTTGAAATGCTATACACTGTATTAATTGTATATTGTAATTATAATGTATTAATTAATTGTATATTATAATTGTTAATTATACAATATGTCGAATAATTCTCGCATTTTGATTGGTCCTTACTTATGATCTACTGCGGGACAGACGCATAGATGACGTCATCAACAATTGGTTTTGTTATCTTAATAGACACCTTAAGATACCAGGACGGGACGAGCTAAGTAAATTTACTCAACCGGGCATGCGCACGAGAACTCTCGACTAATCTCTCTGCCGTCCTCGTCTCGTCGAGGACGTCATTTTGCCCGAGTAGCCGTCGTATCGAAAACGTGAGTATTTTGCACTTATTTTACTCCGATAAATGTTTCAATCGACTTTATTTTCAGTTATATTGATAGGAATGTTTATAAGGTTCGCATTTTTCGTGATTGTAGTGTAGAATACTACGCTGACATACGAAAATGTGAATAAAAATATTCCTCGTCTGTTTGTTTGTGTTTCAGTCACTGTTCAGTCGCTGTCGCGTGTGTGCAAGCTCAATACAATCTGTATGCACTGAGAATACATCAGTGTAAGTACAGTCGATAAATTGTTGTAAGAATGAACGCCATGAGCATCTATCGAGCAAATAGAAAACACATTTTCAAACTGATGTTTAGTTGTTGTTTTTCTATACTACCCGGAACTTGATGCAACGTTTGATTTATTTTCATAATGCTTGTTACAATTACAGATGGAAATTGAAATGTTCAGTTCAAATTCTTCGGTGACAGAATTCTCAAACGTTTCGGTGGTAAAAAGCCATCTAAAGCAGGTCAATCAGATTGTTCGTTTTATTTTTTCCTAGGGAAATTGAGGTTTCTCTATCAAAATATTGACAGATGTTTGCTTCGCTTATAAAGAAAAATAAATTCAGCATCGCTATTCACTATCGTTTAAGCTTAATAGGATAAGATTTCTACCATCTTTTTCATAGTCTAAAGGATGTGTGAATTATCGACGTCGCCGAACTTTGCGAAAATACACGTCTTCAGCATTTTGTTTTTGGCGACACGACGGGACCCGCGAAAGATTCCCGCGTCCACTGCCGCTCCCGTCCTGGCCTTCCCGTCCTCGTATCTTAAGGTCCCTAATATATAAAACAGAGACATTCCATGTTGCCGTGGGTCTCTTCAGTAACAGATCACAGAAGACGTCAAAATATGCAAGAACATCAGTAAGGTACCGGCCTAACGGCCAGTGTGTCACTTACTTGTGTTCTTACCGCATTTTGACCTCATCTGTGACCGGTACGACTCCATGGAATCTCTTTATTAAATGGGAAACGATGAGAGAACCAATACGACTCGCGGCTTTCCAGTAGAACACAGCTGGGTGCCTACTAATTAACAATTAGATTATGAGCTCGAGATTTCTATGAGGTGATAGTTGATAAAGCAAAAAGCAAAATCAACTATCACCTCATAGAAATCTCGAGCTCATAATCTAACTGTTTTAGTAGAATTCTAACTGAAATTTGCTTCGAATAATGATTCCAAATATTTCTGGTCTTAATATTAAACTTCTCGCTTTAGAGAATTCGCGCGGACTGAATTGTCAATTTGATCTTTTCAGTTGTGTGCGCGCGCTTATCAGTTTCTTTCAAAAAAATTCGAGTTTTTTTAATTGCAGAAGCCGTGAATGTCCTTTTTCAGTCTTTTCAGGAATTTAATTATCCTTTTGTTTTTAAATGTTCTTTCAAAACTTCGGAGAAACGAGAAAACGATTAAATTTTATCGACCACACCAAGCCACTGAACACTAATTAAACAATAGAGTGTTTCTGTCGAGGAACTATCGGCTGCTGGTTGCCTCGCGGAAATTTGATGGTCTTAAAACAAATATTTGCCCGAGAAGCGAAGCTTCGAGGGTAAATATGCTAGTCAAACTTCCAAGGGGCGACTATCAGAGCGATAGTTCCGAGACATAAACAATCTATTGTCTTTATTGTTCACTACTAAATTTTCTTCCGCTCTCCAGTTCAAAAATCATATCGAATTATTTTCAACTTTTTTAGATTAAACCGTGAATGCCAAATGTAAAATTTAAAAAGGGAAATAAACAAGACCCACTTAATACAATTTCATTTGTTTATTTTTTTATAAGCTCGCCTGTTTACAGAAAATCTCTCACGGACGAGTACTATCCATCTGGGTATTTTCCTCGGACGGGCACTATCGGCTGATAGTGTCTCTCCGTACACCATTTAAACCAATAAGAATCGGAGAAAATTTAGTCGTGAACTGTAATGGCTGATAGTGTGCGATGGCTCAGCCAATCAGATTGCAGCATTTGCTTTAGTGTTCAAGTAGAAATCTACTAATTAACAATTAGATCCGTAGCCCTTGCGGCCTACGGGTCAATAGCCCATGAGGCGAACTAATAGTCCTCGAGTAGCGTAGCCAATTAGAATGCAGGATTTGCATTAGTCCACTAGTTGGGTGACACTAATTGCTGATAGTCCACTATGCTCGACTTAAAGGCTCAAAAATGCTAAAATCGTTCACTTGGTTTCGGATATTTTCTGTGTAACAACAATGCCAGTTGCTGTTGTTTTTAATAAGCGATAGAAAACTCGGATGAGCCACGTTGACTATTCGTTCAAAGATGGTAAACGACTATTGGCGGGCGTGTAGCCTAAATGATTGGAAAGACACCAATATATTAGATACCAACCTTCTTATTTGGGCAACAAGGTCTCTGAAGTTCCATTCCCAGGCGTACATCTTAACCACGCGGATTCCTGTAATGATCTCTTTCATTATCTCCAATCGTTTGTCGGTCACTGCAGCTGATTGGTGGCGTACCTTGCCAGCCTTATGAGCTGCAAATGATCCATA